CCGTAACCCTGCCGTCCTCAAGTCTGTTGCATATGTGAAACATCAAACAGCAAATGAAACTGAAAGCATAACTAAACCGCGCTACTCGTTTGAGCCTGGTTTATACTCGCCACGTCAGCAGGAGCGCGAAAGTGCATGCAGTAAAAATGCACTTAAACCAGAGAAGGTGAACATGTTGGTATTCTTGTGTGAAAAAAAAACATGCAAGCACTGTCACCGACAGCAAGTTTAGTTTTACTTTTCTTTTTGTTTTCATTTTGAAAAGCTTATCTTTGCCGTTTACTTCAATTTACAAAAACGTTTTCATAATTGTAACACACATATTTACATACATAATTATTCAGATGCATGTGTAATAACTTGCGAAAACTTGTTATTACACACGACGCAAAGCAGAGTGCCTAAAACCCCCTTAGCTGTTATAAATTCACTGTAAACCACGGCTTCACGAGACACTGCTTTTATAAAACAGTTATTCCATATACGCAGCAAAGTTTCACAAAATAAAACAAAGCAAATAAAGTGTAATTGTCACGAATCCGGTCTGTGGCCTTCCGGCCGATTGCCACTGGAGGTCATTCTACCATTACATTGACTCTCACACTACACAGACTGTTACATGTCACTCCGGACTACAGTTCCCATCATCCATTGCACTTACACAGCTGAATTCACTGATCACACAGCCGTCACTAATCACACGCTCACCTGAGAGCTATCACACACTCTATTTAACGCTCTCTCAGTTCCTGTTCAGATCGCTGTGTATTGTATAGCGTTTATCACTCTCATAGCGATAGCTACTCTACGGAGCCTGTCTAGTTTTTCATAGCCTTATCTTAGTCTTGCCTTGTCTGTTTTCTCGTGTCCTAATCTTTGCCTGTGTATCTCGGATTCCCCCTCTCGTCTTGCCCTATTCGGATACTGTTTGCCCCTGCCTGGACCTTTGCCTTGTACCTGGATTTATCCCTCTAGTCTCGCCCTGTTGATTCTGTTCGCCGATCGTAGACCCACGCTAGCCCTAGGAATATTCTTGTGTCTTGCCCTCTATATACCTGCTGCCATTGTCTGACCCTTGCCTGTTTCTGACCATGTCGGTTAATAAAGCTTCGCACTTGAATCTGCACGTCTCAGTCACTCCGTGACAGAAATGATGTTAATAAATACATTATTTTTCGCCAAACAATGCAGTTCCTCAGAATCGGTTGTGGTTCCAACAAAGTGGGTGCCGAGCAACACACAGATGTAAACAAAGGTGTATGTTTGTAGAGTAACTTACAACAGCTTGGAACGCGGCTCAACCAATCAGAATCAAGGACCGGAACTCTCAGTTTTATAAATCAGGACTTTTCCCATCAAACACACTGTTTTTACATCCTCTCTTATTTTAAAGAGCTCATAGATGTCTTTTTATGGCTGTGCAGAATCCAGTCTGGGCGGGTGAAATATGGCTCTAATATTAGCCTAACCCAGAAAATCTATTTATTTACACTAGAGCAGCAAGATGTGGCCGTAACCCTGCCGTCCTCAAGCTTCTCCGTCGTTTCTATATGAATCTTTAAACATGCCGCCCATACATCACACTAATGAGAGAAAAAGAGAAACATTTCAGATGTGTCCACACTCAAAATTACTCATTTATGGATTGAAAATGTAAACAGCGGGTAAATATTTGGCTTTCAGACTAATCAGAGAGTGTATGTAATGTTTTGAGGCTCTGCTCCTCGACGTCTGACCTGAAACATGAGACTCAGCTGTATATGAGAATGTGGCTGTTTATACTGCGAGTCTTTCCTTTAAATACATATTTATCCGGGTGTACAGTTCATACATGTAGGACGCAGCGATGACATCTGGAGTTCAAGCAATTCTAGGAATATTCTGTGGCTGTTAAACTGCATCACTTACAATTACATTTGCATTGATGCATTTGCCAGATGCTTTTATTCAAAGCGACTTGCATTGCATTGAAAGTACAGTATGCATTTAATCAGTCCTCGCATTCCCTGGGAATCAAACCCACGTCTCCCAGTAGCATTATTAGATGATTTTGAAATGGTCAAAATGACAAACTACGTTAAAGTAGGCTACAGAAAGCTCAATGAGATGCTCTGCTGTGTAAATACGCTTCTGTTGCGCCATGTATGAACACAGATCACTGTAAGAGGATTTGCTGACATGTTGGATTGAGAGAGGGATGATTGGATACCATCAGCATCTGTTTACATGTGATATGACTATACTATGACGATATTAAATGCACAAATATAGAGGCAATAGAATAAATCTCTAGATTTACACCGGTCTGTCTGTCAGGCATGTTTGTGAGCAAATTAAACAAACAGCTCATAATGCGATCACATTTGTTTACTTAACCTAATTAGCCTCTGTTAAAGAACATATTACAAATGAGAAAGAGCAGCTGAATGAACCAGTCAGCTTGTTTTAATGTGAGAAAAGCCAAATTCATTAATATGATAATTGTTTTGATCAAATATGACACTATGTGAAAGGGTAAGATTCTGAGCATAAAGAAAAAATATATATATAATGTATATACATACTGTATACTGTAGTAGTAATAATAATAATAACAATAAATGTATATAAATAATAATTCTAATGATATATATTATTACTATTCAGTATATATGTAATAATAATAATAACAAAAAATGTATATAAATAATAATTCTAATGATATATATTATTACTATTCAGTATATATGTAATAATAATAATAACAAAAAATGTATATAAATAATAATTCTAATGATATATATTATTACTATTCAGAATATATGCAATAATAATAAAATATATAAATATAAAGCAAAAATAATATTTATAAAATTATAGATAGATTGATAGATATACACTATAATTTTATATAATAACAACAACTATATTTATTATTATTATTATTATAACTAATAATAATCTGAATTAATATAATAATATAAATGTAACAATTAAATGTATAATAAAAATGGTAAATTATTATGAATAATATTTTATTATTAATAAAAAAATAAAAGTATATATAATATATAATTTATTTTATAATTTATTAAATAAAAAACATAAAAAAATGTTTTATTATTATTTAAATAGTAATTTCTCAACCGTTTTCATGAGATTTGCTTTAAAAAAGGCTTTAGACGCACTGTTTTGTAATCTGGACAGTTGGCTGATGGTATGTGATTGTGCGGGTGGATCTGTCCTGTGTTTTAATTGGCTGCAAGTTTCTTCAGTACTCAAGCACCTCCTGCCGCTATCGCTGGGTGAAGAGCGTCAGGCCTCGGCCCAGCTGGCCAGATCCGTCAGCCGCATTACACCGCTGCTGTCGCTACACAAACCCCAGCGCTCTCCTTCTGTTCCCACTGATCCACCACAATCACTTAAAGAGCTTCCCGGTGCAAACTAACCATTCACAGCAAATCAGTTCCAGACGCAGCATCATGTTAACAACACTGGATAATAGAGCGCCTTGAGAACAACAAGTGGAGTGGAGTGGAGCTTTTACTGCTTATAAGAGTGAGATATTAAAACTCAAGACTTCAGATCCCATCCAACAAGATAAATCATCTGAGTAAGGCTGAAAAAAGCAGCAGAAAACCTGCTATTAACTCTTTCCCCGCCAGCATTTTTGAAAAAAGTTGCCAGCCACCGCCAGCGAATTTGATGATTTTCACTAAAATTTGATGGCCTCCAGAATATTTTACTGTGTGAATATTTGAATATGCAACACACCAAAATAAAGATCAGAGCCTCTACTTTTAAACAAAAAAAAAATCAGTTTTATTCTAGCTTAAAGCATTCTTTTTCTATCAACGCTTGAATATAGGTAGGTTTCATAAAAATGCATAATTTTGAGCAAAAAGGTGAGAAAATCACATTTTTTATCAAAAACTACATCTGGGTAATATTCAGTACGATTATTAAAGCATAAATCCAGTAAATCGCTTCCATCAACACCTCCAAAGCTTGCACAGACATATACACCACTTCCTGGATCAACATTTTACTCCGTAACATTATGCAGTTTTCATTTTTATGCTGCCATTGCTGATGATCGCATTATTTTTCATATGCATCTGTTTACATAACAGATCGCTCGTTTCTCCGTCTTGTTCATGTGTGTTTTTGTTCGGGAGGTTTTGTCCTTTTTCAGAAGATGTGTAATAACGCCCCCGAGTGTCTAACAGTGAAAACACGAAAAGCCGTAAAAACGCGTCTTTGGCGGGGAAGCGTTTTCTTCTAAAAGACCAGATAACTCGTCAATGGCGGGGAAAGAGTTAACATCCATCTTGGGTGATTTAAGACAAAGTAATGCATTTCATATTCATATATTCGTTTATTCAACTCACATATTCATTTCATATATTTAAGTTAATATTGAATATCTTCAATCATAGCTCATATTTCAAAACAAAACAAAATAAAACAAATAATTAAAGTTGTTAAACAAACCCGATTAGTTGCAATTAATTTCAGAAAAATGTGTGATTAATTAGTAATTTTTTTTAATCGATTGACAGCACTAAATATAATATATAATTAAAGTTGTTAAACAGACCCATAATCCTAAGTATTAAGCTTCTAAAAAATAAATACAAAAAATTCATATCATATATTAAATACACATTAAAAATGTATATAATATAATATAATATAATATATAATTAGAGTTGTTAAACAAACCTGTAGTCCTAGTGTAAAACTAAGCTTAAAACTAAGTGTAAAACTAAAAATAAATACAAAAAATAATATATATTAAATACATATAAACATTTTTTATAATATAATAACTAGAGTTGTTGTATAAACCCCTAACCCTAAGTATTAAACTTCTACAAATAAATGCAAAATTAAAAAAATATATATTATTTTAATCTAACATAATATCATTTCCAAGTAAGATCTGTTACATAACCATTGTAATGATTTTTTTAAAGTGACTTTTAAAATGACCAAGTTGTTGAACAGATCACTGATACCTTCTGGGAGCTCCGTCCTCATACGGCTGGATAATGACCACCTTGACGGAGATGGAGGTGCGCAGCAGGTCGATCATCTGCTCGTGGGTCAGCGTGGCCACCGCCACCTTACAGATCTCCACCAGCCGGCTGCCCTGACGCAAACCGGCCTTCCAGGCGTATCCGAACGGCTCCACGTCAGCCACGATGCCCTCGAAGTTAACGTGGAAGCCGAGCTGACCGAGACCGTTCCTGCGCAAGGTCATCTCTGTGGTCTCACAGCCGCGCGTCACCATCTGGAGCAAGACAGAGAGACCGAGAGAGAAATCAGCCTCTATGTATTACAAATTATCAGTCACAAAAAGCATCATACGACTTCAGAAAATTTACATTCACACTACTTTTAATGGCACTTTTTTCATTTGTGAGCTTGAAGGAAAAGGGCAGCGTTGACATTCTTCACAATTCTCCCTTTTGAGAAGTCATTTGGGTTTGGAAACATGACGGTAGGTAAATAATGCCAGCATTATTTCTGGGTGAACTGCTCAGATGTGAAGGACAGACAGCCACAGAGAGACGAGCCAAAAAAAGAGATAAAACCAACGTCCCCCGGCAACATTTAAATCCAAGCGGGACGGATGCGTGACTGTATGTCCTCTCAATCTAAAGAGCCTTTCATATGGAAATAAAGACAAGGGCACTCCAGGGAAAATGTTTTTTTTAGAAAGGAAAAAACTGATCTGGGAGATACAAAGAATCAGTGGAGAGAAAGAATGAGAAAGCAATGATCTTCAGTCCGATGGTAAAAACAGAAAACATTTACAGTGCAAGATCAAGAAAGTAAAGTTTATTACTTTTAAATTAGATCAAATTAATATAATATAATACATATAATAAATATAATATATGAGTTGTTGAACAAACCCCCATTCCTTAGGTAATAAACATTCAGAAAATAAATAAATAAGTTATAATTCATTTTAAATAAAAACGTATAATAAAATAATTTAATAATTAAAAGTAAATATATAAAAATATTTAATATTAATATAATGTAACTAGAATATAATAACATTAATAAAATGCAATATAATACTTTAATACTTCTGTATTAGATCAAATTAATATAGAATAGAATAGAATAGAGGTGTTGAACAAACCCCTATCCCTTAGGTAAACATAAAAAATTAATACAATTTTATAAAAAATGTATAATTTATTTTAAATAAAAAAAGATTAATAAAACTCTAACTGTAAGCATAAAAAATGTAATTAATTAAAATATATGAATTTATAATATAGATTAGAGTTGTTCAACAAACTCCCATATCTAAGTATTAAACTTCCAAAAATAAATACAATTAAAAAATGTAATACAATATAAAGTTGTTGAACAAACCCCTAATCCAGAGTATTATATTTAAAAAATATGAATATGAAAATATAATATATAACAGATCACTAGTTGATGAACAAATCCCTAAAATAAAAATAAATAAATAGAAGTATTATAAATTAATATAATAAAATGCAATATAATAATAATAATAATAAACTTTTTAAAAATAAATCTACAAAAATGTGGCTTGTTAAGGAGTGGTGTTTAATTCCATTTGGTGCAGCTAGTGGCACAGAAATGACACAGTGCCACTCTACAGACGGGTTTTCCTCAGGACCTGCCCATCTTGAACTGGTTTGACTGACTTTCTTTGGACTCCGGTATCAACGGGTGTAAGTAATCAGCATTAATCCAGTATAAACACGTCATTATGAGATGCTGACTGCTGCTTATGTTCACACGGTCATGTGACACGCCGCCGTCACGCAATCTCATTCAATCATTAGAGTGCATTAACGAGAGCTGAGCTCCAAACCAGCAGGACTATGGGAAAACAGGAGTGGACGGGCAGGTGAAGGGTTAAGAGCACATATACTGTATGAGAGTACATTGATTAGTAAATGTGTATTTGTTTAGTCGGGGGAGTCATACGTTTACAGGAGCGGGAGGTTTGGTGAGTCAGTAAATACTCCGAGGAGAGGCTGATCCGTCTTAAAAGCTTTACCGTAATAAGCCCAGCTAGCGAGAGTGACTCACTGTTCACTTGATTTCAACTGTAAGTAGTAGTTAGTCAACAAATACAGTCATGTTAAAGCACTGATTCAGCGACAGACATATTAGTTTGAATGAAGGACTGAAACCACAACAGCTTGAGTCTGTTTTCAGGATTCAGACCAACAGACCAATCAGCTGTGAGCTTGAGTCTGGACTTCAACAATTACAAACTTATTTAACTGCCATCCATTCATACAGCAACGACATTGAATGAATTACTTTACTTATTTTTTTAGAATAGCAAAATAATGTTGTGCACAATGTTGAAATGTGCACAAATTGTTAGTATTGCTTCAATCTTCACATACATACTGTACGTGTTAAAAACAAAAAGATTATTCAATTCAGAAGTCCAGAAAATATATCATTTGCTTTGATGTAAAAATCTAATGTAAACATAATAAATAAATTGTTTAGCATAAATAAAATAAATGATTATATAAAATAATAATAATAATAATAAAACATTTAAAAGCTAGAAGCTTCAATTTCCATGATGCAATTTCCGTTTCGTGAACCTAGGAGAGGAGGTAATTCTGACTTTGCTATGACAATCCGGCACTTCTGAATCAGCTACTGTTTTGTTATTAGTTTAAGTATTTGCTATTGACTGTTCAAATGCGGAGTTTTGCGCATCGTGTGTGTGAGTGTGAGAGAGAGAGCGCGCATGTGTGTGTGAGAGAGAGAGACAGGGTCACATCACAGTGGAGTCAGCTGTCTTAACCGTGGCTTGTGTACTGCAAACACATACCAGCTTCATCACTGTGTCTGTCACGCGACTCTGTTCCCCTTTCAGGCTCTGTCTTTACATTTATTTTGAAAGATGAAGCTCGCGATTATGGTAAGGGGCGTTACATTTCCGACGAGTGCTTGCGGTGTTCGGCCAATCACAATGCACTGGGTCAGCTGGCCAATCAGAGCAGACTGCGCTTGTCGGAAGGAGGGACTTTGTAGAAAACAAAACATTTGAGAGAGGCGGGGCATAGAGGACCTACAATAATGTACAGTATTTGAAAAATAATGTGTTTTTGAACATTAAAGCATGTCAACATATTCTTTTACACCAAATAATGATCTTTAAAAAAAGCATCATATGACCCCTTTAAACCTTTAAAATGCACCAGGTGACTCTCTTTTGACAAATATGTTTAAAATGAACTATATTTACTGTGATGCAAATATATAATGAATAAAATTGATAGAATAAATAAACAAACAAGCCTGTGAATTTTTGGCAACACTTTACAATGATGTTTCATTTGATTACATTAGCCAACTACATCAGTCAAAGTTGCAATGAAACGTATTGTGATGTAAATTCAAGTGAAATGGACTACTGAAAAATAAGCAATTAGAAAATAGATTTCTACATTTCTGAATTTTGAAATTTCTGGAAAAACATTCCGAAAAAAAGATTATTATATAAATATATATTAATATATAATTTAATGAGACTAAGAAAATATCTATAAACAGCAGTTTTTCTATAAATTACATTTTGTTATGTAATTTATATATAGTTTGTTAAAATTTATATTTCTAAATGTGGATTTAATTAACAAGTAGCACTTTACAATAAGGTCCCATTAGAAAACAATAATTAATACATAAACTAAATGAGTGCTTATTAATCTTTGTTAACATTAATTAAAAAACAACTGTTCATTGTTAGTTCATGTTAGCTCAGGTACAATAAATAAAATTAACATACAACTTTTGATTTTAATTTATTAGTAAATTATAAATATAAAATATGATTAATAAAATGCTTTACAGGCGTTATGTGTATCTGTGTGACACTTATATTCTAAGCCCATAGGTGGCGAAAATGGCGCTCTCTCTGTTGCTCCGCTTCTCATTGTTCTCGCAAGCATCTCTCTCATCGGCTCTTTGAGGCAATATTTTTGTTTTTCGGTAACACTTTATTTTAGGGTCTCTTAACTAGTTTCTTATTAGCATGCATATTACTAGAATATTAGCCATTTATTAGTACTAATTAAGCACATATTAATGCCTTATTCTATATGACCTTATTCTACATCCCTAATTCTACCCAATACCTAAACCTAACAACTACCTTACAAACTATTAATAAACAGCAAATTAGGAATTTATTGAGGGAAAAGTCGTAGTTAATAGTGAATAAGTGTTCGCTATTCTGAAGTGTTACCGGTTTTTCTTTACGTTTAGGTTTAACTTGTAAATATGTGTTTTGATATGTGATATACTTTCTTACTTATCAGTAATTACGCACATATTAATGCCTTATTCTGCATGACCATATTCTACATCCCTAATCCTACCCAATACCTAAACTTCACAACTGCCTTACTAACTATTAATAAACAGCAAATTAGGAATTTATTGAGGGAAAAGTCGTAGTTAATAGTGAATAAGTGTTCCCTATTCTGAAGTGTTACCGGTTTTTCTTTACGCTTAGGTTTAACTTGTAAATATGTGTTTTGATATGTGATATACTTTCTTACTTATCAGTAGCGGCTAGTGTATTTATTTATTAGTTCATGTTTTGTTTATTTAGTAAGAACTGAGCGAGGGAAGCAGGGGTCCGGAAGACTCACCCGTTCTTATTTTTATTTCGGGAGTCAGGTAAGAACTTTATTCCGAGAACAGGTGTAGTTAGGAGTCTGTTTTCTTAGCTTTCCTACCCGTGAGCTGATCATTCTTTCTTTGTTATTATCCATTAGATTATGTTCATAAATATTCTTTGTGAATTGTTGCGCATTATTTTCTGAATGTTTGAGTTGAACTCCGTAAATGAATTAAATAGAGGCATCCTGAAATTCACATCAGGTGTTGTGATTCTTTTAATATGTTCGGCCCGTGTCCTTTATTTAACTGTTTGAATTAATGAGCCTTAAAATGGTTATGGGCCGTAACATATTTGGGGGCTCGTCCGGGATTGTTCTTGATTTTGTGTGACTTTGTGTGATCTTTTTGATCTGCTCACACTTGAATTTGTTACTTTGTAACTTTGTTAAATCCCAGTCAATTGACATGAATTTTGGCTCGTGTAGTGCTTTTTCGTTTTTCTCTTTAACCTAAGATGTTTATCAATCACGTTTGAATTAACGAATTTTATTGCGAATCCGACGCAAGCTGAATTGTTCCAAATCAACAGGGTTGATCTTATGAAAATTGCTGCACATTATAAGGTTAGTTTTC